CTCTCTCTCTCTCTCTCTCTCTCTCTCTGTCTCTTTCTTTCTTTCTTTCTCTCTCTCTCCCTTCTCTCTTTTACTCTCTCCCGTCTCTGTCTCTCCCCTCCTCCCCCCTCTCCCTCTCTTTCTTTCTCTTCTCATTCCTTCTTCCCCTCCTCTTCCTTCACTCTCCAAAACCACCACCAACCACTAGCGCCACTAACTTTCGTGGTTTGTAGAACACTTCGTACACAGCACTGTGAAGGTTGATTATTGATGGAGATCTTTTGCTCTTACTAGTCTTACCTGGGGAATTTCTTCCCCTTTTAATCAGCTCTTTAGCGTAATATGATATCTCTGTGGCGTGGACCAAGATCGTAGTTTGTTGACCTAGATGATGTAGATAGTTGTTGTGCGGGTGGGTTGTTCGAAGTTGTTTTTGTTTTGTTAACAAAGGATTCACTACAACTTTGTTTTTAAGATGGTCCTTGGAGGACATTGCTGGTATACTTCTTTCTTTCCCTGTATTGTGTTTATTTTACTTTTTATCGCTCTTTAGGGGGTGATGGTTGGCGGTTGCTCTGATTTGCTCTTTCTTTCTTTCTTTCTTTCTTTCTTTCTTTCTTTCTTTCTTTCCAAAGGTCTATTGTCCTTATTTGTCCTCCAGTTTTTTTTTCTCTTTGTATTACGTTTTTCTCTGGAAGCGCCTCTATTTTTTGGCACTTATTTGTGGCTTGTTTTTTTTGTGTTGCAAGTGCATTTACTACTTTAGACCGTGCAGATGGCTGTTGTTTGAATCACAGGATAAAAAAAAAAATATGGCTTTGTCCTTTTGAGTTTGTCAAGAGTCTCCACTATCTTGACTGGGTCGACTCGGAGATGACTGTTAAAATTGGACTTCTATCCTATCCCCGTCTCTCCTCCTCCCTCTTTTTCTTCTTCTTCTTCTCTCTCCCTCTATCTCTCTTTCTATCCCGTCCCTTCCCCTCCCCTTTCCTCGTTCCTCATTTTCACTTCTTCCCTCCCCACTCCTTTTCTCCATCTCTTCTTGTCTCTATCGTCTCTTCCCTCCCTGACCCCCTTTACCCTCTCTCCCTCCCCTCCTTCTTCGATGACCATACCGTGTTAATGGGGTCATTAAACCCATAGAATACCGTAAAATCATATGCTAGTGGGATAAGGAGATTTTATTGACTTTAGCCCCCGCTTGTGGCCTTGGACTCTTTTTTCTGTCCTTGAGGGGCCGTTGGGAGAGGAAAGACAAATGATAAAGTATAATATATGTACAAAATTACATCCTTAACTATGAGACTTGAATGAAGAACTTTTTATTAGTACTTATTGTCATTCTTTCTTTTGATTGCCATTTACTTTTTGCCAGGGAAAACAAAGGCGGTTAGAAACTAGGAAATTATGTCTTTCACTTTTAAACTTGAACAAAATAAGTGCTAATTATAGACAGAATGGACTACTTGTCCTTCTTGCTTCGGATTGTGGCATTTACTTTTGGCTGTGTTTTTTATATTTATATTTTTTAAAGACTACCCACAGTCTGAAGTTTGTTTCTTTTCGTCATTACTTCACTGAATTATTTTTGCTTTTTTGTCATTACTTCACTGAATTATTTTTGCTTTTTTGTCACAGCAGGACTAAATTTTTGTTCTGTTTTTTTTGTTTTTGGTCCTCATAGAAACAAGGCTATAGCAGACTATTTGCTGTCCAATGGATTCAACAGTGCTCTGGAACACTTTCAGAAAGAGGCTGGAATGGTAAGGAAATTCATTGTCCACTGGTTGCTATGACTGCATCACTGCCAAACAGTATATTAAAAATATATTTAATACTTTTTGAGTGTCTGAGTACAGAATTCCTATTTTTGTCAGAAAATTTATTTTCTCAGTTTCCTTGTATTGCTTCGAACTGACTTGCTGTTGGTGAAGAAAAATCATGAACTTTCTAGACTGGCTTTGCGAATGATTAATGAGAATGGAGCCCATAAGTCAATGGAGGTTTTGTCTCTTACTTATTGTTGACATGACTGCTTTGAATTGCTTGAATTTGTTGAACACATACACGCACACACACACATACACACACACATACACACACACACACACACACACACACACACACACACACACACACACACACACACACACACACTATTGAAAGAATAAAAGAGGGTTGAAAAATCATGATTATTTAAAAAAATATTTTATGGCCTACTTTTCATCTGTCACCATGGTCATGGTTGGTCCATTTTTGCCCCACTCTTTGCTCTACTCTTTGCCACAACCGGCCTCCATTTTCCCCAGTGTCTCTCTTAATCATTAAGTTGCAGACCACTGTCAGATTTTATGTTTTTAATGTATGACGTAGAGGGTCTTCTTCCCTTATTAATTTTCTCTGCATCTCTACTTTGCCCCGAAGCTAATGTCATATAATTGTCAACATGTCTGTTTTGACGTTTCTGTTTGCCAAGGTATTTGGGTTTCCTTCTGTTTATCTTAAAAAGCAATCTGTGCTATGTATCAAGTTCTTTCAGGACACTTTTGTTTGTTCTTTTATCTGTCCGTTTGACGTTATATCTTGTCAGATGATGTTGATATTGTTTATTAATGTTTATTAATTGTAGGTGCTATTTCTATTCTTTTCTTCTGCTGTTTCCGTCCGTTTGTCTGTCTTGCTCTTTTCTAGCAATGTTACCTCTGTTGTGTTGAAGCGCTTTAATTTATTCAGACAAAGAAAGAATAAATTATTTTTTCAATTCCTCCACAGCCACAAGAAATAGAAAAGAAATTCAGTGGCCTCTTAGAAAAAAGATGGACCTCAGTGATCAGACTACAGAAAAAGGTGAGTTTCTGATATTTGGCTGGGTGAAGATAAGCTGTGGGTGTTTGGTGGGCACTTTGCTTTGGTTCGCTCCTTTTTTCTTATCAAACATCTATTCTCATTTTCTCTCCGCCTTCTCTTTTTAATGTATTACTCTTAACTCTCTACAAACACCTTTAATATTTAGCACTTGTAACCTGAATTGTGTTGCAAGTGCCATAAAGCTCTTACTAAAACTGAATATAGTCAAGCTCTGATTGTCCGTGTGTTTTTGAATGATAGTTTTTCATCACTCTCCTGTGGTTTGGACAATGTTTGAACAATAAGATGTATGTATGAAGAAGAATTCAGGTGCTTTCTGAGCTGTTTTTAGAAAGACTAATGGAGGGTTCTTTACTGCTTTGTGGGTGGTTGGCGGGTGCCCCGGTGTGGTTTGCTTCTTTTTTCCTATCAAACATCTATTGTCCTTATCGCCCCTTCTTTTTTATGTTTGTTACTCTCTTGTGACACCTTTAATCTTCTGGCGCTCATATGATTTAATGTAGTTGCGAGCGTCGTAAAACCTCTACCAAAACTAAACTACTGCTTTTGTGTTATCACAAATCATTGCAGTTTCTAAGAACTTCACCTGCGCAATCGTGAATTTGGTTTAAAAAAAATTATAAAATGACTTATCTATTGTACATTAAAAATATTGAACTGATTGAAAAGAATATTATATGACTTGTCATCAGATTTGTTTAAGAAGTACTGACCTGAGTGAAAAAATGCATTAAATTATTCATTATTGGCTGTAAGTAAGAAATAATGAACTGACTGCAAAAATGCTCAGAAGGACATTCTCATCAATAATAGTGATAGAAGGGTCACACCTGGCAGGGGTCACAGTGTTGGTGGTGGTCATTTGTCTTCCCTTGTCGTCTTTGGTAGTATTCGTCATTGAGTGAGTGTGATGTGTGCATGTACGTGATGAAGAACAGGACTTGGTGTTTGTCATTATCAGGATAAGATAGGGTAATACTTCAATGTCCCTGTGGGAAGTGTTCTGTGTCGTTACAGGAATGGTTAAATGTTAAAAATACTATGTAGATATACATAGTTTTAAATTCTAAGTAAAAGAATGTCAATATGAAGAGAAAAATCAAAACTGACTCTAGTACAACTTTTCACTTCAGATGCATATATATATCCTAAACAGGAATTTATCATAGATTTTAAAAGTTAACTGAGTTTGATGTAATGTACCTGATGAAGAATGGGTGTTGTTTGTCATTGATTGAGTTTGATCTTACATATTTGATGAAGAAGAAAGCTTGGGGTGAAGCCACTGCAGTTTTGAAGGTTGGAGTGGGGGATGGGGGGACAAGTGTATTTCGAGTGTAGTTGATGGACATTCTGTTATAGTCTTCATTTTCCACTTCTCTTCCAGTCTTACTATGATTATGACCTTCTTCGCTTCAAAATAAACTGTGTCGATAGTGTCGCAAAACATCTACTCAGTCAGTCAATTGCTTCAAAACCCAGCCCTTTTTCAGGCTGATTTTTACTATAAACATGACCTGCTTTGTGTCTATGGACTTTCCCCTCAGCTGTATCGCTTTCTTTTCTAGGTCATAGGCGTGGAGACAAAGCTATCAGAGGCAGGGGAATAATAGCCTACCTCAGAAGTGATCTAAATTATATGTTGATTGAGGCTTAGAGTAATAAGCTATGGATGGTTGGCAGGTGCTATGGTGTGGTTTGCTTCTTCTTTCCTATGAAACATACATATCGTCCTTATCTCCCCTCCTTCTTTTTTGTGTTAATTACTTTTTTGTAACACCTCTAATCTTTGGCACTTTCATGACCTGTGTTGCAAGTGCCATAAAACTATTACTAAAACAAAATGAAATACACTTGGCAATTTTTTTCTCCAGGTGGAGGCAGGGGAAGGACTAAACAGTCTTCAACGTTAGTGATCTAAATTGTTTCAATGGAAGCCTAAAACTTGCTACTCTCCCCAGGTCCTAAAACTGAGGTTATCAGCCTGCCTAATAAATGATCTAAATTGTGTTGATCAAGGCGTAAAATGTTTACCTTCTGTTTTTGTTCCGTAGGTCATGGACCTGGAGACAAAGCTGTCAGAGGCAGAGGAGGAGGTAAACAGCGGCGCCCCGACCCGCGACCGTCGCTCCCCGGGCGAGTGGATCCCGCGACCACCGGAGAGATACAGCCTGACCGGCCACCGCAGTCCCATCACGCGCGTCGTGTTTCACCCAGTCTTCAGCGTTATGGTGTCCTGTAGTGAGGACGCCACTATCAAAGTGAGACTTGTTGTTGTTGTTGTAGTTGTAGTTGTCAAAGAAAGCCCCTGAGCGTTGTAGACTGGTCCCCTTACATGCGTCATGATGTTTCACCCTGTCTTCAGTGTTATGGTTTCCTGTGGGGGGTGGGGTTGACCATTTATTTTATTGCTTTAAAAATGTAAGACATCTTAAAAACAAAATACATCATTCAAGTTTCCTTGTATTGTGGAGTCATTTGTTCTTTCTTCTTTATCATTGGTGCTGTTTCTTTTTTCTTTTTTTCTTCTTTCCCCCCCCCCCCCCTCTCTCTCTCTCTCTCTCTCTCTCTTTCTCTCTCTCTCTCTCTCCAAATATCTATATCTCTCTGCTTTACTTTTCCTGTGCACCTAATGACAGTCATTGTATAAATGTGCTTCTCTTTACTCAACTAAATTGAACCCTAACTAAATGTTCAATGTGGGTGTTTGGAGGGAATCACTGGTATGCCCAGCTACTGTTCTTTTCCCATGATTGTTCCCATCTGTCTGTCTTGTCTTGCTTTTTCCTGTGTTAGTTAGATGACTGGTATTGTGTCGGTGTGCTTTTCTTTATTCAAACAAATTAACACCAACCCCCCCCGACAAGAAAACAGTAATTTCAAATAAACTTTGGTCATAATGCTTCGCTCTTGACACAGCTCCCCCCCCCCCCCCCCCCAAAAAAAAATTATTAAAAAATTAAAAAACAACCCCATTCTATTCTCTCATGTATGTTTGTGCCACAGGTGTGGGATTACGAGACTGGAGACTACGAGAGAACCCTGAAAGGTCACACAGACTCTGTCCAAGATGTTGCTTTCGACAATTCTGGCAAATATCTTGGTGAGTGTCTGGACACCTTTTTCACACCCCTGGGATCACCATTTTGACATTTTCATATAGTTTCTTGTCGGCCTCGTATTCTGTTTTCAAAGTCAGTTTCGGAGGGAAATGCTGCCTATTCTAACTTAAAAAAGTGGTTTGATTCAGTAATCTAAGCTGTGTGCAATATATCCTTCGAGAAAAATGGAGAGGTGGTTAATAGCAATTTGTCTCTTTTTTGCGTTCAAGGCATGTGATAATGACAGAGTTTAATTGAATAAAGTTTTAAAGTATGAAAGTATTGCTGACTTATTAATTTGTATTTGTTCGCAGTTTCGTGTTCAGCTGATATGACCATAAAACTGTGGGACTTCAATGGTTATGAATGCATGAAGACTATGTATGGTAAGTGATTCCTGATCTCAGAACAATTTGATTTAGAGTGTTTTTAGTGTTCGTTTTGCTGTGGTGTGGTTTGCTCCTTCTTTCCTATCAAACATCTATCGGCCTTATCTCCCCTTCTTTTTTTATGTGTGTTACTCTCTTGTAACACCTCTAATCTTCTGGCGCTCATATGACCTTATGCAGTTGCGAGCTTTGTAAAACTTATACTAAAACTAAAACTTAATTTTGGCAGGGTTTTCTTTTAAGATAAATCTTCCCATTAAGTTAAATTTGCAAAGTAATTATTAAATGCCCTGTGAATAAAAATAAAAGTAAAAATAAAAATTTGTTATGTCTGTGATTACTGGTGTTCTTATTATGTATCAGATCTTTCTACCCTCCCACCCACCCCTGAAACACTATGAACCATATAGCTGGTAATGTCCTATAGTACCATGTCTTCTTCCCCCTTGGGTGCTCCCTCAGACATTATGTATGTGGTTGCTGCTAAAAGCCTTTTATCTTCTCACCTTGAAACTGTAAAAATGTGTGATGACACCTCATGAATATTATGATGATGAGCCTAAATCAACTATTTTTGTTCTTTTTTTAAAAAACCCTCTGCCCACCCACAGGTCATGATCACAACGTGTCAAGTGTGACTTTCATGCCGTCTGGAGATTTCGTGGTGTCGTCTTCTCGAGACAAAACTATAAAAATGTGGGAAGTCTCTACAGGGTAAGCAGTTGAATAGTTTTATATACATTTTGTCATGAAATTGGTCTAGCCACTTGTCGTAAAGAATAGCTCCATCTGGTGTTGAGAGGAATCACCATATTGCCCAGATTTGCTTTGATAGCAGAGTTGAGCCAGTGTACGCCCTACTTTGTGATCCAAATTTTGTTTGTGGGAGGGTTTTGTTTGTTTGAGTAAATTTTAATAGTCATTTAGTGCTTTAAAAAAAAGTGAGACAGATAGTCAGAAATAACAGGGGAAGAATAGAAGTTAAGACTTTACCAGTGGCGCCATCCAATCACCCTTTAGGGACCTAAAACAGCTTGAACAACTAAAAGTTTTGTTCATTTAGATTGAAAAGACAAAGGGAAAGAAAAGAAGTAGGACATTTGGTGGTGTCCTCCTTCCACCTGTTGGGAGCATAAAACATTTAAAACTGTTTTTGCAAAGCAAAAATTTTGTCTTCTTTTGTGTGCAGCTACTGTGTGAAGACTTACACCGGCCACCGCGAGTGGGTGAGGATGGTCAAGGTGTACCAGGACGGGTCCTTACTGGCCAGCTGCTCCAATGACCAGGTCAGTTGAGCATACGTGGGCACTTACACACACACACACACACACACAAATGCATGCATACAAGCGCGTAAATGCACACTTAAACATGCGCACTCTTTGATTCTTTACTGGCCTGCTGTTCCAATGACCAGGTCTGTTGGACGTACTCAGGAAGATGCAAATATGCGTACAGGCATACATGCACGCACGCACGCGCACACACACACACACACACACACACACACACACACACATACACAAAAAAAAATACGCTCACGCTTTGATTCTATAATGGCCAGTTACTGCAGTGACCAGGTCAGTAGTTGAAATTGTGTTGATGAAGGTGCAATATGTGCACATCATTTACAATAATGTTGCTCCCCATGAGCTGTGTGCCTGTGATCTAAATTGTGTTGATGGAGGCATGAAGCACAGAAGTCATTACAAATGAGGATTTGTTTGTTCACATAGACACCCCTCGGGGCAGTGCCACTGACTGTAGTAGTGTCTTTAGGCCATTCCCAAAGGGGGGACATTTCTCGTTCAAGCACAGTAGAATTGTAAATGGGCTGATTCATCATGTCACGCTCATAACTGCCTGATCTACAACAGGGAACCGCTGCTTTTTCTTTCCTAATCCTTTCTATTGTCATTTTCCTCTACTTCTTTTGTATGTGTCACACTCTTGTGACCCACTATTTCCAGGGTGCCTTGATACTCGAAGCAGACCTTGTGCTGATGCAGTTGCGAGCGCTGTAAAATCCTCTTCTAAAAAACAAACAAACAACAGCAACGAAAACAGTTAGCATGTGATCTAAATCGTGTTGATGAAGGCATGAAGAATAGAAGATACAAGTCGTTACAAATGATGATCTGTTTGTTTACACAGACCGTTAGCATGTGGTCTAAATAGAGCTGAAAGAGGAGTAGTACATCATTTGTATATGCTGTTTGTCCACACACACTGTATGCACGTAGTCTAAATTGTAATGATGAAGGAAGGCATAGTGGTAGCAATTTGGGAAGACAGCACATCATAAAAATGAACAAGTTGATTAGAAAAGCATCAAGAACAGTTGGTAGAGACCCTAAGTAATTTTGAATACCTGTACAAAACACACGTTCTAAAAAAGGAGGATGTAATGTTAAGTGATCATAGCCTCACACTGACATCATTATTTCAATTATCAACCCGCAGTAAACAATATATTTCCAAAAAGTAGGAACAGACATAAAGAAATTCATTCGTATCAAATGCAGTGAGGTCATTGAACACACAGTGCTATAAATGAAACAGAGAGAGAGAGAGAGAATGTTTTATGGAGCAGATTGTGTCAACACATGAGACATGTATTTACTAATGCCCTGTCTTGTTGTGCGTATGCTTGAGTGCACCTAACCTTTGTAACATCCACTGCCATTGTAAACGACCAAAACGAATTTCTCTCTGCGAGATGAATAAAGATTGTCATTGTCATTGTCAATGTAATTCTTTAACATTTAATACAATGTTACTGTTTACCCCCCCCCCCCCCCCCCCCCCCCGTGTGGTCTAACTGAATTGCATTGATGAAGAGTAAATCTTTTTCATGGTGAAGCTGGCGTGATGTTTTTAACGACATGTGCACCCAATACTTTCAATTCTCGCTGCCTAAATTGTATTGATGAAGGTGTAATTTACATACTATGGTATACGGCCTATTCTCCCACAGACTGTCCGTGTGTGGGTGACGGCCACCAAAGAGTGCAAGGCCGAGCTGCGAGAACACGAGCACGTGGTGGAGTGTATAGCCTGGGCACCCGAGTCTGCGCAGCCGGCCATCAATGAGGCGGCAGGCACAGAGGTGGGTGGATCTCACTGATCAGTGTTGGTGGATTTTTGCTGTTGTTCGGTTTGGTTTAGTTGATGTTGGATTTTTTGTAGATTTTTTGTTTGTTTGGTTGGTTCTTTTTTAGTTGTTCTTGTTGTCCTTGGTTTCGTTTTTGTTGTTATTGGATTTTGGTTTTAGTCTTTTGTTGTTATTAGGTTTTGGTTTTGTTTTCATATTGTTGTTGGGTTTTGTTTTGGGTGTGTGTGTTTGGGGGGGGGGGGATGCCATTGTATCTGGGTGTTTACTACACAGACCTGCCACTCATCCTGATTTAATCAGGATATCCCTGTTTTTTGCCCCAAATCTCAAGCATCCCGATTTTCTCAATTTGGATCACATATATCCTGATTTTTTGGTTCCATCCATCGCGCCGGATTTTTCTAAAATTTACACTGCCTTCTTCTCTGTCACGGGAAGCACCCATTAATAAACCTTATGTCGTCAGGAGCGCTGAGCACTATATTCTGAAATAATGATGCCGGATTTAGTTGTTGACTTGCCCCAAGTTATGTTGGATCTTTGCTCGCACATCTTATTTTAACTATAATAGAAGTAGTATCGATCTGGCATTCCGACTTGGGGCCTTCTCAAGATCTACTTTAGTTTTTTTTTCCCCTCAGAATTCCCCTATGATGGCCTGGTAACTGTTCAATTGCGACATTGAATGATTATTCGTAGTACTGCTGTTACTTTCAAAACAAGCTTTGTTTGAGCTGTGGTGAGTCAGGCCAGTCATCATTTCAATCGAGCAATCGCATCACATGACATGACTTTGGCATGTGAGTTGCGCGTGTGTCAGGGATCGTCCATTGACGAGATCAACTGAAGTTCATGCACACTGGTTGAAGTTGAAGTGTCTTTCGGGACTTGGGGGGGGGGGGAGAGAAGTTGGGAAGTTTAGACACTTGTACTATGAGTGCTTGACGTGATAATTCAAGATTTTAAAAAGTGATGATAACACACACACTCACGCAGGCAGGCATGCATGCACACACACACACACACACACACACACACACACACACACACACACACACACACACACAACGTATACATAGGTATTTATTGATACCCTAGGAAATTTTTTAGTAAGCTTGGCAGTCACTTTGGTGGTTTGTCGTTTATCACGATTTTTTTCACCAAATCCTGATTTTTCGATTTCATTGAGTGGCAGGTCTGGTACTACATGAGTGTTACTTTGTTGATGTGTCTTTCTTTACTCACGTAAACAGACGAGGTCCAGATCAGAATTTCATCTGTGTTTTACTTTTCTTTCATCAGAGCAAGAATGCCAAGAGGTCCGGTCCGTTCTTGCTGTCAGGATCTCGTGACAAAACCATGAAGATGTGGGATGTTAGTGTAGGACTTTGTCTCTTTACCCTGGTAAGTCCACGGTATATTAACTATATTGGGAGTGTGGTACAGGCAGCCGCTGGCCAGTCATTGGGTGGGGGGTTCATGTCTGCCTCTTATTGTTCTTACAGTTATTGGTGGTAAAATCATAGTTGTCACTGTTAAGAGTGGTAGTATTTCTTCTTTTCGTTTTTTTCTTCCTTTACTTTTCCACATGTGGTTGACAGGGTGCTGGTTTGCTCTTCTTCTCGTCAGTACACATCTGCAAGTGGAAATGAAGCTTTTATATTATAACGTTGCAGAATCTACCGTTGGAATGGATTTCATTGGCCACAACAGAAACCACAAGTAGTCTTAATTCTTATGTCTGTATTTCTCTTTAAGAAATAGATTCCTCTGCAGATGCATTGGTCAGGCATTTGTAGATCAACTATTATTATAATTTTTATTGTTATTATTGTCATTAGATCATCTGATTATTTTTATTGTCTATTGTTGTTATTATTCTTGATATCATTCATTATTATTATTATTACCCCTGCAGTCTGGCCATGACAACTGGATACGTGGAGTGGTCTTCCATCCCGGTGGCAAGTACATTCTGTCTGCGTCGGACGACAAGACGATCCGTGTGTGGGACACGCAGAACAAACGCAATCACAAGACACTTCAGGCACATCCGCATTTCGTCACCTCTATTGGTGAGTCTTACTTGAAATATATAAGTATAGAGGATTATATAGACGTATGTGTATGTTTCATACCTTTATGGCTGTGGTGAAGTTGTTCCCGCATCCGATTGGGGATTGCCTTATTAGTGAGACAACTTCCTAGGCCTTCGGCATATTGTGGTAGGGTGATGGCTGGGGTACACGGAACAAATGCAATGATAAAACACTTCAGGCACACCTGCATTTCTTCACCTCTGTTGGTAAGTGTCACATACAATTAATATAGAGGATTACTCAGGCGTACATATATATATGGCCTAGTGGTTAGGCTCTCGGACTCGCAACCGTAAGGTCGTGGGTTCGAATCCCGTCAAGGGCACGACGTTGTGTCCTTGGGAAAGGCACTTTACACGAATTTTCCTCACTTCACCCAGGTGGGAATGGGTACCCGGCTATAGACAGCGAAAGATCTTGTCAGTTTGTTAGTGTTTGAGCGCTTAATCGGCTGCTTGCACTGTATGCTTCTGGAAGCTGAGAATGTTTCGGAGTGTTCTATGGTCTGCTGGGGTAATAATATAGTGTAAAGCGCATAGAGCCTGCTGCTGAGCGGGGATATGCGCTATACAAATGCTATCTATTATTATTTATTATTATTATTATATTTCATACTTTTATAGCTGGGGGGTGCACTGAGCAAATGTAATCCCAAGACAGTTCAGGCACCCTCATTTCCTCACCTCAATTAGTCATTGAATACATATGTACATATCAAGACACAAAAGTCTTGGGAGGGCCTGTGTGCACGATGCACATGTGAAAAGTCCCTTGGTGGTTGGAAATTGGAGAAGAGTCAGCTGTTAAGCCGCCACAAAAATTAAAAATTAAAAAAAATTCCCTTCTGTTAGAAAAATCCCTATCACACCTATAAAACAGTATGATACACCCAGTCATCTTCCTTGATTCATAATCTATTGACCATGTTCCTTTGGAACATATCAAGGAAGTCAAGATCTGAAAGGAGGGAATAAGTAGCCTACTTTGCAATTTACTTCCTTAATGTGTCGACCGCTCAGACAAAGCTGTATCATGCATACTACTTTTAGATCGTCTGCCAAAATGCGAAAGGCCACAACATACACGAAAGCAGTTCAGGGTACTGCGAGGGCTGAGAGGGTAGTAACCTGAGTCCCTGGTTTTGCTGGGTGTGATTTTTGTGTTGTGGGGAAAGATATGACGACAACAGGGAAAAAAACAGCTGAGTTATATTTTTGTATTATTTTGAATTATTCCTCAATGGGTTCAGTCATCATAGGAACTGCTTTTGTCTCTTTCTAATTGTGTTTATTAGTGACGATCCCAGGAACTTTTTACAGTCATTCCTTTCAGACAACTTGTATGTGGGTGGTTGGCGAGTTCAGACACTGACCATCCGTATCTTTCCTTCTTTTCTATGTTACTGTTTAATGTTCAGCACTTGTATAATCTATTTGTGTTTCAAGTGCCGTAAACTGATACTAAAACTATGGCGACCTATGTTTTCTTTTTTCGCTTTCAGATATGCATAGAAATTCTCCGTTCGTGATCACAGGAAGTGTGGACCAGTCCGTCAAAGTGTGGGAGTGTCGCTAAGCGTGTCGTCGGTGAAAGCAGCGACATACGTTAAGCTGCTGAGATGACTCGAGTCCTTGAAAAGCGAAGGAAGAAAGAAAGATGATGCGTTATACATACAGCTCCTACTTCGATGATGACGCGACGATGATAATGCATCACCTTTCTGATGTCGACATACTCTCTGATGACGACATAGCGCAACAACCACCACACGCATATAAACACACACACACACACACACACACACACACAAAGAAACGCTGGTGTGCTCCGATGGACAGACGACTCTAGCAGACCAAACGACAATGATGCTCCTCCTTCTGTGTCTCTCATGCCTCTCCTAATTGTTGTAGTGTTTTGTGACTGATGATGATGATGATCTGTCTTTCCTTCGTTTTTGCTTTCTTTTTTTTTTCCTCTTTCTTCCCACATCCTCTTCCCCCCTTACTCGTGAAGTTACAATAACTTTGATTCTGAATTTTTAGGTTGCTGGTGTAGATCACGATTCACATTCCCGTTGCGTCATTTTTTCCCCCTCGCCCTCTGAGCTTTTTGGTTTGAAATAAGGTGGAACAGACGGACATACTGGAGACTTAATTTTTGTCTCGAAGACGACCACAGAAAATATCTAATAAGATTACATTTATAAACCGGAACCCTGACAGCTTACAGATGATCAGTGTTTTTCTGTTGGGCGTAAAATCCCTTTCAGGGTTAGTGTTTGTTCTTCTTCAGACCTTTCATTCTGTCTGAGGTGCTATTCTTGTTTTTCTTGGGAAACAATTAAGCTGGCTGGAAATAAAAATTGACTTCTGCACGTCCCTATCTGAGATGGTCTCCCATCTCTGTTGTGCGCTATCAAAAGGTTACTGAGTTTGTAAATTACCTTAATCAGTGCTGTTGTGGTACTTGCATTTCTTCTACGAGTCAACCGTCCCCTCTCTGTGTTATGATGAGCAGTGTCGGGGAAGTCATGCTGCTATTGAAGGCAAACTCTTGTCATGTGGTTCTGCTTCTCTCGAAAGACAAGTGGCGGCCGTTTGTGCTAAGTTATGCAACTGTTTGATTGCCTTTATGGGAAGTTTACATTTGCTCTCGAGTGCTATGAATTGTCAACAGGATGTTCACTGAGATTAACATTTCCCTCCGGATGAAACGGTATCCATACTTTTATACCATGCTTCAGGTTGGTTGAAGGGATACAGTCCTGTGTATGCTTCCCCTCTCACAATGTCAAACAGGGAAGAATTTAGATAATAGATCATACTTTGCAAACCCCCCCCCCCCCCCCCCCCCCCCTATCTTAGACGAGCTGATGCTGACAGCTGAACAGCATCATATTATTAGGGCAGGATGGGCGAATCACTTTCCACTTATTACATCATTTGTTTTGTTTCGTTTTATTTTGGTCATATTTAAAATTTTATTATTCAGTGTCATCTTTGAAAAATTACCAGCGATTTTTGTGATATAAATGTAGTTCACTGTCAGTGTTAATGTTCTTCTTGACTTGCTGCTTAAAGTAATTGTTACTTTGTGGAAGAAACTACTTTTTTTTTTCATGTTATCATAGCACTCACCCACTCCACACCCCTCTTCCATTCATCCAGCTGCCTCGTCACGGGTTTCAATAAATATGTGTGTGGAAAAACATGATATGTTCATCATCTTCGAGCATCTTCAAAGCCATAATATTCATTATTCAGACGTGTTATTATTTTCCGATGCGGCGTACAGTTTTGTATTCGCACTTGAAGAGTTGATGAAAGTGAAAAATGTTACCTGATGTTGTTTACTCCCCACCCCCCCGGGCCTCCATACCCCAGTCATATCTGTCTATCTACTTTGTAATTCTCTGTATTTTTTACTGTGCGTCAGCCAGTCAGTCCCCTCTCCTATCTGTCGTTCTTGTCTTTTCTCCGTGCCGCAGAAGGGACTGATTTTTTTCATTGAAAGAAGATAGGTGAACTGGGCAAACAGACAAACGGTCACTGTCCGCCTCATCATTATCCGTGTCATAAGCTAATGATATTCTGCCTGCCGACCAATGGCTAGAAAGAAGTCTTGATGTGAGTGGTCTGCCACTTCTTCGTCCTTCCATCTTACGTACGTCTCGTAACATTCTGTTCTTGGTGAAATACAACCATTATCTGTCACAGTGACTACAAGCCAATAGCAACCGGAGATCTCCTTGTTACACCTTATACCGGTTATGTTGGAAGGAAAGAAGTCTTCCTCTTTCTGCTCCTCCTTTGTCTTGAAATCAGAGGTGCTGAATTTCCGGGATAAATCCAGAAATTGCGATTCTTGAAATTGTCAACATTTTGCCCAACTTCAGAAAAATTCTTGATATAAGATGTATTAGACAATAAAATGATCCCAAAATTTAGAGTCTCCATGCGTGTATTTCCATGGGGTCCGAAAACTGTTCAGGGAATGCTTGTAGCCAGTTCTTTGTTCCTGAATCTCCAATGGCTTAAGCTCGCCACTGCGGCCCGTTAGGTTACAAACTGCATTGCACGCATCCCCCACACAGCTCAGATTGGCCCTGACAGGCTGAGGGGTCGAGTCATCTCTCGTTCTAAACATTACATTGTGTCTATGAGGGTGTTATATATTCACAACTTGCAACAAAAAATGTGAGCATAGCGTAATTGGCAATGTTTTACATAACAGATGGAGGGACAGCTCGAAGTCCCCTTTTCTTTTTAGTCCTTATCTTTGAAGCGGCTTGTCTTAGTGGTATATTACAATTTAAAAAAACATTTTTTTGAATTAATTCCCCTGCCCTTTGCTGTCTGTTGTCTCCTCTGCTTCTCTGGCATCATGATGGAATAGAAGTTGTCACTCTCAGAGACGAAGAAAAAGCTTGTGCAACAACGTGTTTTTGCCTGGGTGGACCCGCTCTTTGGATTATCTCTGCATTTGGGGTTGTTTTTTCTCGTCCGTGTTCATAAATCAAAATATGTCTGTGGGGTGATGATACAACTTATTGCTGTTCATTTGTGGCTCATTTTATTATTTTTTTCCTTTCACGTCTTTGTTACTTGGTTTTGTACATAAAAGTTTAAGAAGGCATTTTGACAACACTTGTTTAACGCTTTTTTTTTAATCCCCTGTAGTTGCAAAAGCTATATTGAGAACTCGAGCAGTGTGGTCTTTGGTGTCACACCGGGGGGCAAAACCCGTCAAGAGTACGAAGTTTGTACATAAAGATTTCAAGATATATATAAATATTTTTTTGTTTCTGGCTTTTGCATTTCCCTCACTGTCGATGTAGCTGTCAATGTAGCTGCTGTAATCAAGTTTATGGTAGTAGATGATACGTATATATATAATAATCTAGTGATATAGCTTTTGAGGAGACGGATGGATGCAATAATATACAGCTGATGAGATGCTTGGGTTTCGTTGTTAGCTCAAGGGTGAGATAACATTTCGTCAGCGAGCTGTTCAGATGTAACAAGCCCAAAATATATTAAAACATTTTCTATTGCAGTTTCTTACTCTCTGGTATCTGTTGCATGTGCTCAGAAATAGTTTGTCTACATTTAAATTCTAAATGTTGAAAAAAAAAAAAAGCAAGAATAAAAGGTTCATAATGACGGTACAACAATGAAACAGTTTTGTTTTTGTTTTTTTCTCTCCTGATCTGAAAAATTTAGTTCTCTGGGCTTACTACATTTGAACAACTTGCTGATGATTTGTTTTTAGCAGACCTTTTATTATCACCTCAAAAATTAATTTCGAATAGGAAGATTTACGACACTTTCAATTTTTTTAAAAACTCCTTTTTTGGTAAACTGTAACCTCACTATAACGGAGACAGAAGAAGTTACGGCGAGTAAAGATTGCAGTTGGAGATGATCAATGTGAGACTAAGAACTTTCATATTGATAGAAACCCCAATCCGTTACTGATGTTGTAACAGATGTGTAGTTGTCGCTGGTTGGCGTGTCGTCCCACTTTGCTGGAGATCATCGGAGAAGCGTTTTAGCCATGGAAATTGATGTGATTGATTTGCTATGCTCAGTCACCTTGCCTGGGTTGATGTGGTTGATAATATGCATGTTTTGTTTTCTCATTACTAAGTTTGCTGTACATTCATTGTACATAGAAAAGATAATTGACGATATCTGTACGTAACTAGAAATCTCAGTGATTTGAGTATGTGTGACGCAATGAGAGACTGATTAAGATGGAAGGGTGGAGGTGTGAGGACCAATTGGTTGTATTTGTGCATTTGAGAGTGTGTGTGTGTGTGTGTGCATTTGTGTTTGTGTGAGAAAGAGAGAGTAGAAGTGTCGAGATGATGTCATTTGTGCATGGAGGAATTTCAGAGTGCCACTTGAACCAGAGTGCATGTAGCTTGTTTTAAAAAAAATGTTAGTTTCATTTGTTTGGAAGCTGAATTTCTGTCTCTGAAATGTGTAAAGTGATACTACTACTACAACTAATACGACCCTATACACATTTCACATAGGAAATGGACTTTTGCTCTTTAAGGTGCTGTCTGTTTTCTGAAACATTTTCTGAAGTGTAACTCCTCTTGCAGATATTTTGTTGTTGTTTTTTTTTTTAAGATTCTGATTATTGTAGATTGAAGGAAATTATTGAAATAAAAGAATGCTCAAAATTTCCGTGGTACTGAAAGAATTTCTAGTTTTGGATTTTCTTTTGCCTTGAGTGCCCAATGTACATTCCGGTGTTTGCCATCGCAGGAAATGCAGTTATCGAATTTGACAGGAGGGCGGCAGTTGTGGTAGCCAGGTTTGGTATCTGCATCCACAGTAGAGTGACAGAGTCTTAACTTGATACCTGTGATCTTTAGGGGAAAAACTGATAAAGATTTTATGCTCTTCTATCCCTTCCCCCTTCCCCTAATTAACTCTGAAATTAGTTGCAGACTTTTCTGCTGGTGTCGATGAAGAAGAGTTATAAGATCAGATAAAAATGTAAGTATCCTCTTGTAAAATTATTTCAACAACTTCTGATTCAAAGAATAAAAGATGTTCAGGGCCTGTGCTCACAGAAAAAGAATACTTAGTGCAGGTAATCATTTAATGTGTCATATACACTTTAGAAACCAGGGCTTTATAATGGAACAGTAAGCCTCTTCACCTCTTCACTTTACATTTAGAAGACGTGAGTGTTTTCTTAAGTATCTCCTGTCATTCTGCTGGGATGTATGAGCTCCTCCCAGCGGGGTTTGAGTTTGCTCTGACAGACAGACAAAGTCGGAGCTGCCCACCTCCTAAATGATCTAAATTGTGTTGCTGGGAGTGAAAGGCATTTAGGAACCACGATGACCAGTTACAAAGTAGTGTGTATCTCATCTCTTCCAGAAGGTGGAGATATGACTTCGGTCTCTCTGGAGCGTGACTGGAGAAACGTTCTGGAGGGGTTTTTTTTCTTTTTCAGTGGTGTTATGCTTTAACTACGTAACTGGTTTCCTGACAATTTTCGTCAGACAAAAAAACCCCCCAAACAAACAAGAGCCAAGCTGGACGACCCAATATACAACAGATACTAGTCTTCAAGTATGACCTGATTATGAAGAACAAGAATGATTACAGAAGACACGAAAGTTAGCTCACAGTATCTATATAAACTCTATATAGTGCCTGGTGGCTCTTTGATTTTTATTGAGGACCCAAATATTTTAGTTAGCTGGCAATGGTTTAAGAACGGAAAAGAGAGTTAACCCGCATTTCTTCCAGTTACGTGGTTAGAGCTTAAGACCATTGTTTCTTTTCTGCCGTGTGCAATCATCCGTTTTTCTCTCTTTGTACATGTGTGATGTATACATGATGATGATGACGCTTGTTAACGTAGACTGCTGCTATAAGTAGTTGTGCTTGCATTTTTTCTCCTTTTTTTTCTCTTTTTTTTCCCCCTCTACTGTGACCAGTGAATAAGTCTCATCCATCCCCCTCCCAGCATAGTGTGATATTTTTTAATGGCATTGAATTTGTGTTTTGACACTTGCTACGTTTGTGTGCGTCTTTATTGTTTTCAACGGCTCTCATGGTGGCCGGTGTACACTTATTCTACTCTGTCCTTGTTCTGATGGGTTGGTAGAATAGCTTCCAAGAGTACAGACCCAATTTCTCTTAGTTTTTGGCACAGATGTCCTCAGTCGTCAGAAGAAGCGGTTTGTTTGTTTTCTGCATCAAATTATGTAGAACTCGTGGTGAATTGACTTTCAACGTAAAAATTTTTTTTGCCAAAACTGGGGCCATATCCCTTATCCCCCGCTCTCGAGGATTTAAGACAGGTTTTAGCCTCCTCTGTGACTGTGTCACTGTTATCTAATTTTTGTGGACTAATTGTTCAGGGGACCATATTGTACATCAAGGCCAAAGTTCATTTAGGTCAGTTTGTTTGATTTTTAAAAAACCTGTCCCAAGCTTGCAAACCAGGACTAGTAGGGTAGGTGCACACTGCGTCTTACTCACAATGTGAGATTGAGCACTTGTACATTTCTCCTCCTACTCCTCCGTCTCCTCTTCTTCTTCCTCCTCCTACTTGCCTTTCTTCCTTGTTCTCTGTACTCTCTACTCCATAAGCTGGCTGAGCAAGTAGCAGAAATAATCCCCTTCTTTGTGTTTGTTCACGTCTTGTTTGTAAAATAATGGGGGGGGGGGGGGGGGGGGGGGGGGAGGGGGGGAGATCTGTTTCTTATTTGCCTTGTGGGTGTCTGCCGGAGTGTGTGTTGTCTGTGTCTTAAATGACTCGTCAAGCATTATTTCTATTTTACCGCTCTGTGAATTTCCAGGGGAGAGCTTGTAAGTTTGTTGAAGCTCCCGAGAAACTAATGTTGATATTATGTTTGGATCTCTATCTCCAAGGAGCTTACCAGGAAGAAAGCTTTGGGTTTTACAAATTGGTCACATCAGTGTCAAATTACTGCTGGTGGCTTTTCACATAGTGACGCGGATGAATATTTCTCTTTCTTCGAAAAAATTTCTAGTCTTTTGAGATTTGGTGACATTTTGGGAGTTAACTTTGCAAACAGATTCGAGAGCTCTTTTGAGTAATGATTGATGAAAACAAGTTAACGTTTGGTAAAGCTATTTAAGTTGGCTTTGCAAACAGTTCAGTATGAGAAGTACATAGGTTAGTTTCTGGAATGACTTGAACTCGACAATGTTCCTCAAGTCTGTGACACTTGTTTTAGAGAAAAATATTATTGTTAGCGAAAATGACATTGTATACCGGTACCAAGAATTATTTTTCTTCCTTTCCCATAACAATGATTTTGCTGTATTGTCTTGGGGTTTTTGGGGTTGGTTTTTTTTGTGGGTTTTTTGGAGGGATGAAAAATATGGTAGTATCTTCTAGTCCCTTTCTCACCTCACTCTGCTAGAGACCACAAAATAAGAACCACGCTGATGAATGATAGCCAGGGGTTGAATTTGGGGAAGTATGTGATAGTATTTTTGCAGAGTGAGTGAGGTGCATTGAGAGAGATGGTACAGCAGCATGTTTTGTCTGTGACCCTCTTATGCAACCAGTGAACCACCTGTCTTGTGGACAGAGTCTGGTGAAGGTAGAGTTAGTCCCCTATGCGCCCCCCCTCCTCCCCCCCCCCTCCTCCACCCCCCCCCCCCTTCCAGTTTTGAACTGGCATGATTGAGTGTCCCAGTGGTGCTTAGTCTTGACATTGGTACCACAAGTGATATTTTGAAGGTACTCAACTTCAATTTTGTTAATTCAACCTTAGAGAACTGACAAAAACATGAACAACGGTTTTTACAGAATAAATATCGGATAATAAATTTTTGGAAATGACAAGCATTTTGATTTTCAAGGACTTTAAAAATCATGACATAAAGTTGGTATGTTCGTTTTTCGTTGACTAGCCGTTTATGTGCAGAAAGATTTTTTTTTGGGGGCGGGGAGATTATACTTTGTCTTTACTTTTATCTATCCAGATTTCTCACTGTTCCGAAAAAAAGAAAAGAAATATCAACTGACTCCTATGCATTGTGACGGATGCCTGTGGTGTAGTGGTTAGACTTGACCATGAAAGACGTGAGTTCAGTTCCCACTCGGGAGAAATATTTTGTCGAGTTTCACTGTCAAGTGACTGTCTTGCTGTAGGGATGTGAGTCTGGGCTGGCCCAGACATGCAGGGTTATAAAACACCCGCATTTTCAGAGTGATCTTGATCTTAACTGTGTCAGTGTGGGCGTATATAAAGTGTAATATTTACGTTTACCACAAGACTATGCATTTTAAACAATAAATTTCTGAGATGTATAATAGTACAAGTCCCCTTCCCTCTCTCTTTCTCGTGTTGAATCAGAATATGGCTGTGTGTTCAAAAGTATTTTCTTTGCCGCCCCACGCCTGTATAATATGTTTTCGTATGATCTAAATAAAAGGTCTTTTTTGAAGACCCTTTGGTATGTATGATCGGAAAGATTTGTTCTTAAGATCTCAGTTACAGCACCGGGGACATTGTTTGTTTCCTGGTGTGTTTTTTGTTCTCCGAGGCTCCCTTTGTGCTGTGTGTAGCTAGCCCGTGAACACTGATTGGTCAAGTGACTAATGTTGGTACGACAGACCAAACTACATGGTTGGTAGAGCATTCTTTTTTTCTCTCTGTTATGTTCTTTCTTTCCGGATATGTCTGCATGCATTTCATTGTTGATTTACAAGGTGTGTCTGTTAATACGAGAGAAGGAAAGAGTGTTTTCCGACCAAAACCGTTTTTTCATTTATCCAGCTCTTTCTTCTAAACTTCTTCAATCATGTTCACATCTGTCATCCGCCCATACTTTTAGTCTCCATTGGTTGTTCATATCTCATCACCTGACAGGCATTTTTTCTCCCCCCCCCATCAAACTTTGCCACACACATTGCTGATTCATTCATTTTTTATGGCCCAACATTCATCTCTCATTCACCTCACCATTTCGTTTCTGTAGGTTTTATCCATCATTCATCCAACATTGGCCACTCTCACGTTCGTTCCTGAAGGTTTGTCCATCATTGATCAATCAACTCCGAAGTTGTTCCCATCAGCCAATGCTTCTTCCTGTTGTGCTCTGTGTGTGCTTTTGCCGTGGATCTTGCTGCTACTTCTCATAAATGCCGTTGTTTGCGCTGCGAGTGAGTGGTCAACTCTCCTACCCTGTGGAAGTAGGGAGTGCACATGCATCGTCGCTGTTGTTTGTGTTGTCGTGGCGATGATGTAGTTAAGTGTGGCGGCGTGAGGAAACCCATCTGTGTGGTTTGCTCCTTCTTTCCTTTTAAACATCTATCGCGTTTTTCTCTCTAGTAAAGTTTTCAGCACTCTTATGACCTATTGGCGTTGCAAGTGCCGTAGAACTCGTACTAAAACCTGGGAAAAGAAACTAAAAAATATTTTCTTCAGTTTTAAGATGGGAGAGAAAGCATCTGCGCAGTAGAGCAGGAAGAAGTGGAACTTGAAAATGTCTCACTGATGGGTTTTCCCATGCCACCACACACACATATACACACACGCGTGTTTGCATTTTGTCTTCTGGTCGTATATCCTGAACATGCTGTGTGCATTTTTGTCTTGGGGTTGTATCATGAACACGCTGCTTCTGTCTGGACAAACATGTTGTTGTTTGCGTTGGTTTGTTGAGGAAGTAGCCAATGTACCAGTAGTCCTTGAAATATTATTATTATTATTATTATCATCATTATTATTATGTAATGGTTATATCCAGGTGTGACATAAACTTAACGTTGCTGTATTACTGCAGACATATAAGTTGTTCCAAAGACTTATTGTATATAGTTGTTTACTCTCTCTCTCTCTCTCTCTCTCTCTCTCTCTCTCTCTCTCTCTCTCTCTCTCTCTCTCTCTCTCTCCTTTATTTTTGTTATTATAACCCCTCGTTTACTCAGTGCAGAAATGTAGAAACATGGTGACTGTATGTTGTTTTTTAAAAAATATTACAGCTCTGACTTCCTGCTTTGTTGCTTCTTTTTTTCTTCTTCTTCTTTTTTTAAAGAATGTAAATGACTTAATTTGTGAACAGAAATCTCTCAAACCAATGACTTGTGTGCTTGAAGTTTGATATACCTGAGAAATGATGAGATCTGACGAGTTAAATAAGATTGTTTGGGGAAAGAAGTGAAAGACATGGAAGAAAGAAGAGATAAGACGATGCAGAACAAATTTACAAATAGTGGAGGAGTCTCGGAGAACAGAGGTGCGGTGGAGGAGGTGGCGTTACCAGGTGACAGCTCAATGAACAAGTAACATCAATTCGTTCACTTTGTAGCACATAGTGCAGTCAACCACAACTATTATATAGATTGTTTATATATATATGTGTATATATACATATATATGTCACCATCATTCCACTAGTCACACTGCCATTTTGCCAAAGTTCAGTTTGTTCTTTTTAACGCTTTGTAAACTTTCAGTGTAATATATATATGTTTTTCATTGATGATCATGAACTGAAAAACAAGCAAAAAAAATCCATGCTCTACTGGTGCTTTTTACTTTTCTAAATTTATTCTTATGATTTATTTAAACCGTAGAATTTTTATATCTTAATCAAGTTTGCTACACCCAATGATTATTATAGGAATGTCTGATCATTTGTGAAAAGGAGAGTGATATAGTTTCTGAGGAGAGAGAAAAAAGTGATTTTTGTATAGTGTGTATATGCCCCCCCCCCAATGAAGGAACACATTATGTGCAATGTGCAATACGTTTTCAAATGAGGACAAAGCTGTCAGGGATCGATCATTGATCAAGTAATCAAAACATTCAATGCACAAAGTTCATTCTGTTGAGATTTCTACTCTCTCTCTCTCTCTTTCTTTCTTTCTCATTCTCTCTCCCTCTCCCTCTCCTTTTTCTGTCGTTGTTTACGTCTTAGATTCCTGTCTTCTTTTGCTGCGCCCGACAGTTTAACTAAGTATTTTCTTTCCGTCCCCTGCCTGTTTCTCACTTTTTCTCTGCTTCATTTGTTTTTGTAGCTTTGTATTTTTATTTAGGATTTGGAATGGGGTCTGTAAGGGTTGAGCAGTCGTGGAGAGACGAGTTGAGTTATGAAGTTTATTTTGTGTTCAGATAATAAATCTATGATTTGTACAATTCTTCCTCTTTTCTGCTACAACAACACTTTCACCCCATCCCCCGACTTCTGTTGGCTTCTGTTTTGAATTAGGTAGGTGGTACTGACACAAGATCTAATTTCCTGGGTTTGGGATTGGTGTTGAAGATTTGATCATCCTTTGATGCGATTGGGAGACTTTCTCATCCTGCTGGATGGAGTAATTGCCCCGATATAATAATAATAATACTACAGCTTTTCACATTATTGCGCGGATATTTCTGCAGGAGTATTCGTATATACGTAGATATGGAACGCAGTTGCTCTTGTCACATAATTATTATTATTATTAAGAAATTGGTCATCATGTCGCCCCTTCATCTTGAAAACACTACTACCGTACTACTACTACTACTGTACTGTTTCATGTAAACTGTATGACTTGCACGTTCATTTGCCGCTGTCAATAATTGATTAATTATCTGACCACCCACAGGATATAAATAACAGGCTTTTGCTGGCTTTTTCTATTTTGCACCCGGCAGAACGAGGTTCATTCTTCAGTCCTGTCAGCTGCGGAGCAGGGAATGAAAATCGAGCTTTCGAACTGTTTCGATTGGTTTTCTCCTTGCACCTCTCCGCAGCTCAGGTCGATCTTTGTCCTTCAGGATTTCCCGAACTTGTTGTTTTGAAACAATTTGGACGCTGAAGGATTGGAATGATGTATTTCACACTCAGTTTTGAATTTGTTACTTTGAAATGAAATTATTTTTTTTTTGCGTCCTATCTCCTCCAGTGTTGAATTACAAAGCTGAGGAATTTTAATCCCTGGATTTCTTTTATTGCTAATTCTGTCATGCTCATTTTAAATGTATAACTAAATATGATTATCATTATTTAATTATCAATGTGTGTAACTTATTGTCGCCTACTTGCTGATTATAGTCAGTTGGTCAATAAATAGCTATTGAAAAGATGTTGGTTTTTCATTTTGTTAAGATTTTGTTCATACTCTTGTGCAGAGCATAGCAAATGTATTAGAAACAGAGAAGACTTGCTGGTTTGAATTGTTTTGTTTAGTTTTAGTAAAAGTTTTACGGCACTTGCAACACAAATACTGATACTATCAGTGATAGGTCATATAAGTGTGCCGAAGATTAGGTGTTACTAGAGAGTTACTCAAAGAAAAGAGAGATGAGGACTATAGAATAGAGACGTTTGACAGGAAAGAGACAGCCAACCACATCAGAGCTCTTGCTGACCACCCACTTGAATTGTGTCCGGGTACAGAGGCTCTAGACACCCGCAGTCTCAGGGGGGAAGGGAGGTGAGATGATAGACAAACAGAAATATATTATGATCGTCCGAGGAATGTTAATGGCAACATTTTATTTCTAGCCCAATGTCTGTGGTGTAAAGGTTCCACTCTTCGCCACTGCATGTTGGAGCCAAGTTGTTAGGCTACCGGAACCATAATTGTGAGATTGTGGGTTAGAGCCTCAGCTTGGTCCGACATTGTGTCTTTGGGAAAGGCACTTAACTTGAATTTCGTATGCGGCTCAGTCCTTTCGGAGATGAACGTTAAACTTGGAGGTCCCAGCTCTGAAATGACCTAGTAGTGTTGATAGGGGCATTAAACCTGTGCCATTTTACCGATTTTACAGTGGAAACCTGATATAACAGGGATGGTGGGAGTAGAGAAAATGTCCTGTTATACAGTGGAAACCTGATATAACAGGGATGGTGGGAGTAGAGAAAATGTCCTGTTATATCCGATCCCTGTTAAATCAGAAATGCCAGGAAAGTAAGCATTTGTGGACTAATCCAGCTGTACTTATTCATGGGTAGTTTCCCTTGCCACAAGTACCCACGAACAGGGGTTTTGGCACTAACTTTCTCCTTGCCTCCTTAAACCACATCAGAAGAGCTTGGTCCACAGCATCTGCATCGGGTAGTCTCATCTTCTTTCGATTCAGAGAAAACTTTCCATTGGAGTATGCTGCCACTATCCTCTCTCTATCCCTGATAATGGTGTGAATCGACCCTTGTGGAATGTTAAACTGATGACACCCTGGATTATTTCTTTTTTTTTTTTTTCAATTGAAAGGCATTTTCTCTTGCGTTTGACATCGTTGATGACACATTACGCGCGCGTGTTGCTAGGTTTCGAGCTAGATCGAGGTCTGCAGCACACCGCAGCCCTCTCTTGCTTCACATGATGTGTGTGCTCGCAGTGGCATGGCTTGTGTGGGCTTGCTCCATCACTGCGTTACGCTCTCTGTCTGTCTCTCTCTCTCTCTCACTCTCTCTCTCTCTCTCTCTCACTTTTTACACATTGTTAACGAGCCTTTGTCCCTGCTATAACCAGTTGGGCTTAGATGAGGCCCTGTTATTGCCGATAACTTTTAATAGAGACAAAGAGTAGGAAAAAACAGGGATTTGAAAAATCCCTGTTATTACCGGATCCCTGTTGTGTTATTACCGGGCCTGTTATATATGGTTTCCACTGTATTTTATCTGTGTTTGGTCTGCTAACATGTAGTCCTAGAGTGTGTCTAAAAATTACAGGCGAGATGAATGTACGGTAATGAATATTCCGGAGCAGGGCTTGACATCTGACAAATCGAGACACAAGTTTTGGATGTAGTAAGAGTTTTAAGGCACTTGCAACACAACTGAAGATTAGAGGTGTTACTAGAGAGTAACATAAGAGATTAGGAAGACAGATGTTAGATAGCAGAGAAATGGCAAACACACCAGAGCACCCACCAGACAGTCACTTTATGAAACATATCATGTTTTAAATTAGAATTTTTATTTTCTTATAAGAAAACCACATAAAAAATAATAACCACATTTTGTATAACAAAACAGCTCCCCAACACATATGGTACATGTACATTTCAGGACAAACAGAAACTATGAGCATTGTAGTGTGGAATTATTCTCAAAGAATAACACACTAAAAGGAAAAAACAACTGAAGGCTCCAGTGTAATAAAACAGCAAGTCACATTTTAAGAAAGTTTAGAGAATAAAAATTCTAAGTTTGGAAGTCGATATCTCGGGGTACAGTGCTTCTTTAACCTTACACATAGCACAGGACAGCTCTGTTATCCGTAGAATCATTTGCGGAGAAGAAAGTTCAAGTTTCCAGAATACCAAGAGGGCCAAAAACCTAATTTTTTAAAAATGTGGCTGATCTGGTTTTTCCACTATATTCTTCGAACATTCTTGTCCCTACAACTTGTTGATGAGTCCTGTGTCAGGGGCGCTGGCTTTGATGAGGCCTTGGACTTCTTTGAACTTTGGATGATCTTTGTCCCCGACCAACTGCAAGAGAATGGCCTCACTGGTCGTCACGGTCGCGCCCATGTGTCGAAAACGCTGCACAGGAATGAAACACATGGCACATTGAGGAGAATTAATGTAAAAATCACTCCCCTAGCATGACAATCATTCGCTGAGAATTATGGGGTAAAAAATAATAAAAGGAGAAGAATAAAACAATGGAGATAATTGACTGTTCTAAAAAGTGAAAGATTTCTTAACAAAAGGACGAAAAATATTTAGAAATAAGCCCAAAATAAAGAAAAAAAAATTGAAACTTTTGTTTTAAAAAAAATTGAAACTGGTTTTAAAAGAAGATGTACATTATGAATTCGCAAGCAACCTCCAGGCTGATGCATCGTCGTAGTCTGCAAAACAGAATATCTTACATGGAAGTTCACAGTTTGAATGCATGTGGAATCCTAATCAGACTTTTACTAAATATGATACGAGGGGCATACCAAAAGTTTTTACCTGACCATGAAGGAATTAAAGTTAGAAAGCTGAAATTTGGGTTGAAAGCCAAAAATCGTCTTCCTAGAATGCTTGTAAATTTTGGGGATTTTCAGATTACTGGTTTTACCACCAGCGCACTGTAAGTGAATGGGGGTATGTTGTTCTCCAGTTTCAACATAAAAATGGAGAAAATTGAGGGCAGGGCAGTAATGAAGTATTTGTTCTTGCAAGGCAAGCAACTACAGGATATTTTTACGAAGATGCATGCCGTATATGAAACTGATTGCCCATCCTATGCTGTGATAAAATTTTGGTGTAAAAAGAGTGATGATGAGGTCAAAGAAGCGGTAGAGGGCTGGTTTTCTGGCATAGAGAGGGTCCTCTATTCTCAAGGTCTTTTCAAGGTCATACACAGTTGGCAAACATGTATAACTCTGGGAGGCGACTACATAAAGAAATACTAAGCTTAGCACCAAATTTCAACTTTCTACCTATATTCCTTCATGGTCAGGTAAACAACTTTTGGTATGTCCCTCGTAAGAGACAGCAAAAACAGTCATGTGATGAGTAGAGGTTTGGCACTTTGCTGTCATACTTAGGAGACCCTAGTTCGATTCCCGAGTGCGGACAAATTTTATTATCTAGGTCTTTGAGCTAGGATGTTGTATCCCTCTCAGCCAAGGTTAGCCCTGAAAGGCAGGATCCAAGGTCTGCTTCCGAAATGAATCGAATTGTGTCGATAGGGGCGTAAAAATAACTTCATTATATGTAAAAAAGACAGCAGATGCTGCTATTGGAAACGATTATAGTAATTAAATCCTCCGTTATGAAAATCAGAACCAAGGAAGAGTTTCTCACCTCTAAAGCAAACAGTCTGTCTGTCTGGGCCCGCGAGGACACAGCGTCTGCCACAACATGGACCTCAATGTCTCGCTTCAACAGGTCGATAACTGTTTGCTGAATACACACATGGGTCTGACAAAAGATAAGAGAGTGCGGGTTGTCGGAGGGTGCTCTGGTGCGGTTTGCTCCTCCTTTCCTAGATGTTTATCTATCGTCCTCATCTCTTCTCCTTCTTTTCCTTGTATGTTACTCTCTAGTAACACCTCTAATCTCTGGCCCTTAATGACCTATTTGTGCAGTAATTGTGGTAAAATTCTTACTAAAACAAAACTAAATGATAAGAGAAATTGTATCTGATGAATGAGAGCAAAAGTTCTATTCAATGGACAATCATTTACGGGAAATTGAATGTTATGTAGGCCTATAGATACACCTGATATGGAGACTAAACTCCTCACAAAATTCCCGCCTCTGCCCCCCCCCTCCCCCTATCTTTGAATCTCTTTTTTTCTGCTTCTCCCCTTCCCGCTCTCTTCACATCTACTTTGTCCTTTATTATTTTTTTTTTACCCCTCTCGCATAATCTCTTTTTTTCTAAGTGTCATAAAGCAAGATGAATGAGCCATAGATCTACTTGAAAAATTGGCTTTATTAAACAAAAATATATTACTTTTACTCATTTGAATGGTGGACAGTAACAAACAACAATACTCAGGTAAGCAGCCACTGGACACAGAACAGCTACAGGACACACTGAGCGACACTCACAGATGCCATGACAGACAAGACGACAAGTGAACAGAGACGCGACAATAGAAATATCACCACACTCAGTGTCTCTCTTTCCCCATTCTTAAATCTGTTATCGATTGAGCTTTTGTAGCTGGAGTTACCAAACAGTACGAGAAACTTCAAATATTTCGATCAATCTGGATGTTTAAGAACCTGTAACCCTAGGGGAGGTAAATATCTAGCAGTACTCATATATCATATTCATTTTCCACAGAACTAAACTACTGAATTTTATGACATGGTTAAATCCCTTGATTGATATATCAGCATTTGGCCTCACGTTGGCCAGAGCAGAGCATTGCAGTTGAAAGAACTCTAAGAATATAATAATATAGGAAAGGATTCCTCACAATTTAAAACAAACTATATGTATTTACAAAGTTTTAGGGCTAAGTTAAGTGATTCCTGTAATAAAAACCCCTCTGCCACTCAGTTAACCACACAAACTTTTTGATACCACCCTAAAATAACTAAGGTCTAATCCTAAATGCTGGAGAAGTATGGGGGAGGGGGGGGGGGACTTTAGCAGGAGGAAGAAGAGGGGGGGGGGGACTTATGACTTGTTTAGGAAGCTACCTTCACACTACAGTAATTCTCTATCACCATAATATAATAGATACTTTTTGCAGTCTGGTTTCTTATTAGAAAGGCCATTTTCAAACTTCTAATTGGCATTTCAGAGATGCCATTTCATGCACGCAATCTGAACAAATGTGTCTTTCTAAGCAAATACAAGTAAGCTAATACTATTAAAGATCTAAAAAAACAAAAACAAAACAAAACAACAACAACAAAAATAACAGCCCTGAACAATCTCATTCTTACGGAGGAAAAAACGCTGTTCTAAGCATTATTGATAGTGAATGCATAATTTCTACATCAAAGCCTCTCTCAAAACACTTGTGGGCTGTTGCCCATTGAGGTATTACTTACGAATACATTACAAATATAGTTATTTGGTGTTGAATTTCTTTCAATGTATTCTAATAAAATACACTCAGATGACAAAGCTCTGTGTCATGATACGTGTGATTGGGTCAAATGAAATGTTCAAAAAACGTGTCAGCTTAAGGAAAATAGTTTTTAACAACACATTAAAGTTATTCTATCCACTGGCAAAGTGTAATGATATGGCACATTAGGATTCTAATGTGCCGTGCACATTGCAGAGCTTTTCATCAAATCTCAATTTAATATGGTTTGGTGTATGCCTTCATTTGAGGACAGCCAGAGGTTCCTTCTCGGAGGGGCAAAAGTTAACATTTTGACACAATTTGATCAAATCCTTCAAAGTCAATATTTGACTCTCTCACTCCAATTGGGTCAATTTGATGAAAACAGCCAACTACAAGTTGCGAAATGCAATAGGCTTTAATGGGCTGCCAGTTTAAATTAGATGCAGCAAAGCAGAGATATTTTAAATACAGCGTGCACTGGCCACCGCTCTTCCTCAAATGTACCAAACCATATTATTAATTCGGGATTTGACAAAACTTTATGCAATATTAATGTGTATTGGGAATAAAGCTCATGGAACAGAAAAATATTTGTGTCCATTCACTATACAAACACATGATGAAGTATTTATGTGTGTGTGTGAGTGTGTGTGTGTGTTAGTGTGTGTGTGTGTGTGAGTGTGTGTGTGTGTTAGTGTGTGTGTGTGTGTGAGTGTGTGTGTGTGTGTGTTTGTGAGAAGGTGCGCGGGCAAGTGTGCCTGCATATGAGAGAGAGAGAGAGAGAGAGAGAGAGAGAGAGAGAGAGAGAGAGAGAGAGAGAGAGAGAGAGAGAGGGAGGGAGGGAGAGAGAGAGAGAGTACGGCTTTCATTACACTGAATTAAAAGGCAATATTTTTTCCATTCTTCAGGCTGTTAAGGTTCAAGTTGAAGTTACTGGTCTTCACGGGTTTCAAAGTCAAAGAACAAGATGCTGAGGCCACATGATGCTTATAACTTCTTATCACAGACACAAATCTTTTGCTAAAATTGACCATTCAAATTTTTTTTCTCTTCCAACATACATTACTTAACTTGATGTAAAAATTTCCGCTCAAAATATAGAACATAAACAAAAACAGTACCTCTTAAAAAAAACCCCAAAAAATCACAGAGAAAAGACTGGATCTGAATCCTTTGTGTAACAGAATATAATTGAGTCACGACGCGGAGGAATCAGGCGCTCGTAAATTTGGGGCACCTGTATTACCTGTCCTGGGGAACAACGTCATTGCACACCGGACAGGTCCATAAGTGCTCAGTTCCCCCCAGCACCAAAGCCCGCAAGGTATCCATACTGATTGTTCCGCTGGCTGTCTGGTTATGGCGACGTCTTTCCATTCCAGATAATCATTCCTTTGTTCCTTCTCCCCTCTCTATCCCCATTTCCCACATCCTAATGATTGCGTGGTGTTCTGCTGTCTCCCTGTCTTCTTCATCCCACAACTTTTTCTCCAGGGCCTTCAATACGTCTCCTTTGTCAAATTTCACCTCATCATCAACCACGGCACTGCCTGCCAGCCTATCAGCCTCCTCATTGCCTTCACTCCAGAGTGCCCAGGACAGAATATCCACGTGATGGCTCTAAGTGATGAGTGTTGTAATGGGTTCATCCATTCACTCCGAAGAAGCCCTTTCTCAACCCTTCGCAAGATGCTCTGGGAGTCCGTGACAACAATGAGATCAGTAGTTCTTGGTCTTGTATTGTGAAGCCATCCAAGCGCTCTTGTTACTGCCTCAATCTCCATTTTCATGCTTGAAGTTGTTCTTTCTATGGCCCCTGACGTGTCATGAACCTTTTTGTCCTCACTGTACACCACAAAACCCCATCCACTTCTCTCACCCCTCCTGACTGATCCATCCGTATAGATCACTGGGTCCTCTGGCTTGGAATGCTCCTCAATTAACCGTCGTATATCATTGTCGTTAATGACAGCAGCACATTCGCGTCTTTCACGACCCATAGTGATGTGAATGTTGGTCAGGCTTCTGCAATCGGGGTTCAGTTCAAACCACTCCTTTCTACAGCATATTTCATCGATGCCACAAACTTTCTCCTCAAGGAGTTTTCGGCTTCTGCCATCCATGAGCTGCCCCGTTTGATCCTGTTTCCTTTGATGCTGCCCAGGTTGTCATGCAAAGGGTGCCTCTGGTCTCCCAAAACATTTTGGGGCATATATGGAGTAACTGGTATCTTCTTAAAGCCTGTCCATTTGTCTTGCTTCAGATGAAAAAAAAAATCTGTTTATCTTGGATACACGTAAAGATATTGGCGATTGATGGAGGTGGTGGTCACTGGTTTCAGAAGTAAAATGAGCGAGAAAATGTCCGCCAAAGTTGAGTTATTCCCTTAGCTTGAGAGTCCGTGGAAACTGAGTATTTACATCTTTTATGCCTTTCATCAACGTTTTTCAGTAAAATCCACACAGAAATGTGTTCTTTAACACTTTGCCGTCACATCCCGCCGATCGGCGATGTTTACCACCCATTTTCTTTGGATTTTCCCCAAAATGCCTTTGCCTTAGATAGCAAGGGTTTTTACCATAAGAGCCTTGTGATGGTAAAGTGTTAAAGGGCATGAAAGATGTTGAGCCAAAAAACAAAAATTCCGTAAAAATTCCCAAACCAGCAGAAAAATGCCAGTTTAATTTTTTTCATGATTTCACCTGATTTCACCACGCTGCCTCACATTTTACCAATACATCGATATTTTTTAGAAAATTGAAAATCAACAAAAATAGCTCACCTCAATACCACACAGAATTACATGCTTGACATTTCCACCACAAAGAGTCTTCATCTTTTCTTCCACTTCTGGAAGCACCATGCTGAACTTCGTCTTCGGGTAGACGCCTACGGCATTGGAAATATTTACTTCTGGCACTGTACTTCCAAGGCCCTTGGGATACTGCAAAAATAGAGTAACGACAATCCTTTGTATAAATATGTACTCGTAGCTTGCCGAAAACCTGTGCATGATAATGACCACATTTTCACAATATGTTTGTTGGAGTAAAAAGAAGTGCCCACATTGACACAATAATGGTCATGAATTAGAGCAGAGTCGAAAGATTAAGCCAGACAGATTAAAGCATCAGATGGAAAAAGAAGAAGTAGGCTTACTAATGACAGTGGAGCCCTCAACATTTTAAAAAAATGAGGTTATTATATTTGAAATCTGACATTAATTTGAATTTCCTCCACAAAAATGATTGCTTTTTAAAAAAATTAAAAGGTTTTTAAAAACTTGAAATACACAAATTTGAATATTATGATACGTAAAGTAAAAGTAAAGTTGTTCCCACATCTGATCCTGACATTGGGGATTGCCTTGTTAGTGAGACAACTATCTGGGCCTTTGGCATATTATATTGTGGCAGGATGGCCAGTTCCTTTTCACGCCTCCTTTACTTCCCCAACTCGAAGTTAGGCACCAATTACTGCTGGGTGGGCAGGAGGGGGCGAAAAAAATCTGTGTCCAAACCAAGGCTCGAACCCGGACTTTCTGCTTCAGAGACAAGCGCACTTACCGCTCCACCACTGCACCCTCATTATGATACGTGTACGTGTTAAAAGGGAATCTAGAAGTGGGGGAATGGGGGTCAAAAAAAAATATTTAAAAAAAAAAATATATATACATTAATATAGAGGCATTGTGGTGAAATAAGGCACTCGTAAAAATAACGAAATTGAAGAAACTTGCATTTTTGTGCCCGTTGGTTAATTTTTTGTGAATTTTTGTTTTTTGACCCAACGCCTGTAAGGTTCACTAAAAACATATTTCTGAGTGGATTTTACAGAAAAGCATTGATTTAAGGCACAAAAAATGTAAATTTGCAGTTTCCAAGGACAACCGTACTCAAACTTTGGAAGTCACCGCACACTTTGGCGGCCCTTTTCTCGCTAATTTTACCCCTGAATCAGACAACCCCCACCTCCTTCAATCGCAAATATCTCAACTTGTATTCTCGATAGATGGATAATTTTAAAATGAAAGCAAGATATGAATAAGCTTTATAAGGTAATACCAATAACTCCACGCCCAAAAACTTATGAGCGCCTGATTCCACCGCGTCGAGACACATGAGGAGTAGAAGGAACAAAAGGTACAATTAAGGAGGAGCAAAAACAGCTGGTGGTGGTAGAGATGAGAAAAGAGGTAGAGGAAGTGGAGAGTCAAAGAGAGGGAAGAGAAAGAGGAGGAGGAGGAAACGATGGAGAAAGAAAAGGAGACTGAGGAAGAAGATCGGTACAAGAGCAAGAAATAGGAAGGGCAGGAAAGGAAGAGGGGAAGTTAAGACGAGGCTAAACAAAAGGAAAGGGGGAGAGGAATGGGGAGAAACAAGAAGGAAAGAGGGCGAGGAGAGGATAAGTAAAATTAAGGAAACAAATCAGAAAACATTATAATAGCAGGTCAAATTACAGACACCACATCACTGGTTAGTTTGTGGACTACTAACCTGTTCTGTAACCACCAGAGGAATGTCAAGAATGCGAGTTGCTTCAGTCTGAAAATTCAAAACAAATTCTTGACACAATTATTGCAAGGCTTGGGTTGGATAAAATTCCTATGAAAAACCATAATATAAGGCATATTAATATAATTCGACAAATTGGCAAAGGTTGTTCTAATATTATTATCAGAGGTAGGTAGTTAAAATAGATCAGTTTCTTATTAGAGTTTTGAACTTAATTAGGCCCTATTTATTTTTTTCTGCCTCTTCTTCTGGCACAAAACATTTGCTTCAAGACTAGATCTAGGCATAACACAACTTTAAAAGAAAGATGATGGTTTGAGATACCCTGTCACACTAAGATCTCATAATAGAAGTGATAGATCTCTAGTAGTGAGATCTCCTGTATGAAGGAAAAGCTACTGTTTTTGGTCTTATTTCTAATGAATTTAGGGAGTTGATAACTGTTTTAGTAGTTGCCATGGAAACTTTTATCTTTCCTAAACAGATCCCTCTGCTACCCCCAGATTCAAATAGGGCCTCTATGGAACTCCATAGAATGATGTTCTAACGAAAATAAATTCGCGATGACAGATATATAGATCTAGATCTAGAGTCTATATATCTAAATCTAGATCTAGATTCTAGATTCTAAGTATTTTTTAGATCATACCAGGCGGTTTGAAATCTCAGCAATTTGCGGAAAGAACGAAATCGCGTTTCTGAATCTTTCTTGGATGTCACAAACAAACACCACAGTTTGGCTGACGTCGATATCACCAAGTCTCTTGTTAGCCATGATTTATAATAGTGTAAAGTGGTTGAAGTGTACTGTACAGGCTGTCTTTTTAAATTGGGTGTTCACTTTGTTATCAAGACAGCTGATGAAGATCTTGTCCCGCCCCAGTCCACAAACAAAATACAACAAATTGACCTGTGACCCGAGTCTAGCAGGCAATATTTTTCAGAGTTGTCCACCCCTCGTTACGGTGAAGACCAGACATCTGACAACCATTATAAAAATCATCCTTTGACGATGATTATTATTGTTAACATCATTATTAATTAATTTGCTAGTAGCTGTAATTAAAATGTGCATCCTAATTTAGAATCTGGAGATCTGTTTCCCCGTTTTTGCCACAGTCATATTTTGCTTTCAATAATTGCAGGTTTATTTGTTTGAAGGAATAATCTTTAAACACGTGTTTGGTCAAATGAATTGCGAACAGGCAAGTTATTTTAACTTTGATTTTCCTATGAACGACACGGTATGTTATTTTAGCTTTCACAGACGTGATCTCTTCTCTTTTTTCGAAAAACAACAATTAGCAGTTCCCCTGCCCACACCCACTCATAAATACATACACGTGCGCGCTCTCTCTCTCTCTCTCTCTCTCTCTCTCTCTCTCTCTCTCTCTCTCTCTCTCTCTCTCTCTCTCTC